TCTATTCCTCGGGAGTTGTCAATGGATAACGTCTGCACACATTGCACGCCATCCGAGTATCTATTATCACACAATTCATGTCCATTCAGATGACAATAATCTCTATGTTTCGTAACAATTACCTGTTATCTAGTGGTTTAGTATCACTAATGCTATCGTTCTGTGGACCCGATTGGTGGACATGTCTTAAGCAAAGACTCCATTAGTATTTAGTATTAATATATGACTAATAGTTTGATACCCATTAGCGGTGTCTTTATTTGTTTGATCACTATTTGAGAGCAATTGTGTGGCAAAAATGAATAGATTATTGTTATTGGCGTTCATCTGAACGGATCCATGGCTTGACGATTGGGTGTCATTGTCATCGGTGTGGATGTGCTCTTCGCCACACGTGGTGTCTGTCAGTTGTCTCAACTGATCCGTCAATTTAGTGATTTGTCTCACTTTCCACTCGAGTATCGACTTATAGGTGTTGTTGACTAATTTCAAGTCACTTATCAATTGGTCTCTTACGGTGACATCGCTTACCAATTGAGACAATTGGTGGCAAATACTGTCCACCAGTTGCTCACAGTCAGACTCATTCATCGCTCAATCAATGCATGCATTCATTAACACTAAACATAATATTCATTGCATTTGTGTTTAACAATCAAATCACTGCTAATCCAGTCATTCATTCATTGATTCATTCAACACAATGTTATGCAATGTGTTTACAATGGACTCTCACGTCACACATGTTCACCAATTATGTCCACTTTATAACACTACTCATTGAACCATAATATGCAACATTATGCTTATTATTTATATAAATTTAATCACAATATTATTTGGCAAATATTTTATTCGTTTAAATCGATAATTAAAATATAGTTAGTATATTTATTTCCATTATATTTATGATTATTAGTGATAATAAACGGATTAAAAGTTTGTATTTGAATCCCTGTGTATAACGTAGACGTCATTGAATAGAGTAAACAAATAACAACTGTTTTTGACATTTGGTTCACGTTTTAAGACATGAAATAAACTCGAGTTTTGTTTGTTGTTTGCAATGCTTTTAATTGTATTAGTATTCAGTTAACAAACAAATGAATAATACATTTGCAGACAATACTGTAGTTTAGGGTGAATGTGATCATAAATGCCAACATATTATAGATTACAAATAAAATAGTACCAGGTCATTTCATATAACGTAAGACTAATGGTGAACAGGTATCTCACAAATAGCCATCACTTCAATGATCACTCGGTCTCATCCAAAATGGTCTGTCGGACAGACATGAGGGTATTACCCAAGAAGTTGTCGCCGTATTTATGCCATAGCGAGGGCTTATCGATGTCCTGATGGTACTGTCCAATAGTGACGCCCCATATCCTGTCCTTGTATTTGATCCGTCCGGTGATGTCCTGAATGGCGATCTCAGCCAAGACAGCACCGGAGGTGGAAATGAGCCAATCCTTGAGTGTCTGGTTTTGTGTGAACTTCTCGTACAGTATTTGTGGCACTTTCTCATCCCTCACGTCCCGCCACTTCTTGGGATCAAATGGCTTCACACGACGGCCCAGACGTTTGGCGGCCGCAGGAGTCGTGCATTTGAGTACATTGTCGGCAGTCTTATGATCGCCGAAAGTGATGGCCTTCTCGTACATTATGGCGCACTCGGAGTACTGGAACCGATGGCCACTGTATGTGAACGACGTCTTGTAGAAGTTGGACAATGGACTCGACTTCGAGATACCTCCGTAGCCCACGAGTTGGCCATCACTGGAGTAAACGTACACTTCGTTTGTCTTTCGGTCCACTTTGTTGGCAGTTGTGGTCATTATGTCTTCGTATGGCTATAGCTATACACGAGTTACAGGCGATGTCACAGTGTTTGCACGTAATGCAGGACTTACCTCTCAGTATCACTTTTATGGACTTAATTATTGATTCAATTTAATAAATCGATTGCTATTTCAATTGTTTTTCACTCCAAATGTGAACATCAAATAAATGTCATTTTTAATCCTTACGACTATTTTACGAAACTAACGAATCGTATGGTAAACGCTAACTTATACTCAATGGATTGCTACATGTTATGCAATTCTGTGCCTAATTCATACCAACAATACCAACAGTTAGTATACATGTATATACTTACTGTATACCTGTATATACTTACTGTATACCTGTATATTGGTGTCTGTTTAATTTTTGTTAAAATATATGAACACAATGAATAGGTTGATGGCACCTACATTCACCTTCAATACTAAATAATACTGTATTACTTTCTATACATGTTATTGTAATCAAAGGAAGGATAGTTTATAATAACTTGTGGATATTCTGTATACGACCTTGAACACCATGTAATATTGTACGAAATTCTGGGAAATGCTTAAAATAGTATTTTTACGATGAATTAATAATTATTAGTTGCTTTGCTATTATATTATTATGAAGAATTTGGATTTTTATACTATTTTTTTAAACTTTGTCAAATAAATAAAATTTATTAAAATAGTGAATACAATAAGAAATGAATGTATGTTTCGTAGTATTCATGTTACAGATTGAAGAGTAAATTCATTGTTTACCCGAAAACAATAGCATATAATAAGTGTAATGCATAACTAATTTGCAGTTAAACTTTAAAATCTATTTGTTTTAATTAATACGAGTTCAACGACACGACTGAACACCGGTCGAAACCCTCGCCTTTTATTCCTATGACTCCTAATAAGTTATATTTCAGTTTCAAAGTAAAAGTTATAAATGAATTTTGAACATTGAATATAAAAAGCACAAAAAGCAGCATTTATAATTCAATGTATAATGTGTGTGTGAGAGTGTTTAATATGGATTAATATGGATAATAATTAATCATAATTTAGCGTTAATTCCTGATTTATTTTTAGTATTTTAATTCATTTAGAGATCCAATGCTTTGGATGCAAACTAGTTATAAATGCAAACACATAATATTATAAATGTATTATCATCAATGATATAAAAATATTTCTCAAGTTCTCGAAAATATCCGTTTAATAAATGTGTTTAAACTTCAAAACTGACAATAAAATTGATGTCATTTATATTTCATAAAGGAACCATGGCTTAAATATTAATATAAGGCTAAATATTAATAGTATTTAATAAGTGTTTTTATTATAGATTTCGAGTGACTTTTTGGTGCCGTAAGGCTTAATGAATGGCTCAATGAATGCATAATAATTCAAATCCTTTGATTTAAAAAGTGCATCAAATTATTCACAAAACAATTAATTAAAATTCATTCATAACATGAAAATAAATTTTCTTTCACAAAATATTTGTCATTTAAGCGTAAATCGCATATGAATTAGGTTGGTGTGCAAAATAAATATGATTATGAATTATATTTAATCAATTAGTCAATGAGTTATTATAATTTAACTAGTTTAGGTATGAATTTTATTACACAATAAATTTTGTGAATTTGAATATAATTTGTTTTACTGTAATAATTCACTAATATGGTATTATGGTATTAATATGTATTATACATGTTTTTATTTAATTGTAATCTTACCATTTATCTTATGTTAACTAAAAAATAAAACACCAGTTAATTGAATGTATTGTTTGGCAATTTATGTTTAATTTATTCAATTATGAGCTTGTTGTAATTTATTTGAAATATATTTAAATTAAAAATGAGATATATTTATATTATCTTTGTTTTCGTGTAATTTCACTAAATATTACTCATTTATATCTTTTGTTATAAAAACAAATATTTTATTTGCTAATAAATTATCAAAACAAGTTTTGATTTATTTTAATGAAAAATTATAAAGCTTATTTTTATTTTTAATAAAAATAAATTTAATATTAATTTTTATATAATTTTATTTAAAATATGATTTATTTAAAAAAAAATTTAATGTAAATAAATTATAATGTCCATTATAAAACTAAAAAATGCTCAAGTTCACAACATTGTGAACAATAATATTTTAACTTTAAATTAGTATAAAAATATTTAAAAATTTTATCTTGCTTAAATATTTTAATTGTGTTTTTATCTCGTATCACATTAATAATTATGACACATTGTTAGCTAATTAAATGAATAATAGAATATAATTTATAAATTACATGAATTATGAGAATTAAATTCTAAAATTAGATTATTTTATAACTACATTAAATATACAATATAACAAATTTTAATAATTAATTGTCTAAAAATAAGTTAAATTTCAGAAAAAATATTATGAATAAAAATGTTGACAAAAAAGTTCTCACTCTCTAGTGATTAGATATATTATACATTAATATCATTTGTGTAAAACTTCATTAAACACTCTTATTATGACCCAATTTTAAACATCAAAAGTTGTTACTAATGATTTCATTGTTAGTTTAAGATACTATCTTATATTTATTGCATGATTAGTACTATAAAGTAAATTCAATACCTATTAAATATGTATCGAAAATAAACATCAATTGATAAAATCTTATTTCTGTTGTTGTATGTAATTATTGATTATTTCTCGAACTTCTACGACCAATAAATTAATACTTTTAATATTAAATCCATTAAATCTAGTCTTGTTTGTGAAATTAAAAACATACAAATTTACACTTTTATAAAATTATAGTTCAATAGACTTTGTTTTTACTTGTTAGATAAAAGTCAGTAAAATGATGAGCCTTTAAATCGATATAATATTTCATTAATCAAATCATTTTTGGATCAAAATTTAACTTTAAGGTCATAGCTCTCTCTCTCTCTCTCTCTCTCTCTCTCTCCCATTTAATCTTGAATAATG